TCACAAACATTTAAGAATTTTATTTCGTGATAGAATCTATAATTATTAATTAATAATTACATCGTTTAATGTACCTATATGAGCAAAGAAATACATTTTTAATGAAATACACGAAAACATTAGTGTCATTCAAGTATTACAATTTACGAGATCGTGGTATATGGTATATCAAAATCTTTCGATTTTGGTTAAGACGAAAATATGTAAACAAATTCTACATGTTATATTAATCTATCGAATTTGAAATGGCTGATGTCAAAAGTTTTGATTAAAAATTATAAAACCGATTGTTTTAATGAGTTAATTTTTATCAATATTGTTCACTTTTATTTAATCATTAAGGGGATTGCAAACGGACTACTATTTCAACCAAATGTACCAATACATTGTCAATCATACCGATGGACCTGATAACGCGATAAGATTTCTAAAAACTGATTTGAATTCGTTAATAATATGTGTACATGATATAGGTCAGGCAACTTTTTTTCAAATTTTGCTCCTAAACTCAGTACATTTTGTTTGAATATTTAAAATTTTAATCATTCAGAAATTAAATTAAATACCTTAAAATGTGACCTCATCGATCTCAAGTAAACATAATAACGAATTCAAATCAGTTTTCAGAAGTCTCATAGCGTTATCAGGTCTACCGGTAGGAGTCACAAAAAGTACATACAAATTAGAATACATTGTTTACCATTCACGGGTGCAATAAAATTATGCCGTGGAGGTGACTTGTACGTGCGCGTGCGGGAAAGCTACTCAATTTCTTTTACACATATGCAAACACACTAATGATCACTTACTACTCACATATTTTGATATTTACAAGCATGCCCACAATTTTAAAATTGCCTATTTTGAACTCCTAGAAAACTGTCCGTTTGCGATCCCCTTGAACGTTATTCTGCACTATCGCTCATAGTAGGTAAGATATTATACACTTCGGAACACGACCACACTTACCACAGAAATGGTGTGGGGATGGATATATTTTGTTTGACATTAAATAATTGCGAGGTCTTATATATTTTAAAGTTATAACACGAATTTGTGCTATAAATTCACGGTTCATTTAGTTCATACTAATATTAAAATTACCTAATAATTAAACTGTTTGCATTCTAATTATTATGAATAGTAAGTCACCTGTATTTATAACATAATGAATCAAGTAAGTAGGTATTAGGTCTACAAATATGTAAAATATTATTATATTTTACTTAATTAAGTATTGTATTGTAAATCGTAATATTTACATTGAAATAACATCCACTGCTATTGAGCAACTCCTAAATTCATTTAATGAATCATAATAAATAATTACTATATTCTAACGTTTGATATTGATATTTATGTATGATATTTCTAATATTATAGTAAGACTAATATCGATTTAAAGTATCTAGGTATTAAAAACATGTAATACATAATAACCTAATTAATATTGGTACCTACTGATTTCATTCCATTTTACATACACCATTGGTGTAATTTCGTTTTCGATTAATTTTTCCATTACATTATTATAATATGCTATTCCACATTTTCCTGGTCATAAATGGTCATGAACCATTGGAATAATTCTAGTTGGAGTTATGGAAAAATCGATAAACTTAAATCTGAAATTATATTATGTTAATAAGTACCTACATACTTGTTCATTAGTAGCAGGTACTATTGACAATTAAAACTATTACATTTTTGTCTGAAACTGACATCCAATTCCTTAAGAAGTTTGACATCTATGTCCCTTTTGTGGTGCGTATCCGCATCAACGTTCACATTAAAATGTGTACCATCGTTAATTTCAGTTGATGGAAACTCATATACTCCCATTCCCTTATAATATATATCAGCTAATCTAGATTTGACACACTTCTCTATGTATTTTTCGATTACGGACGTTGGTAAGTCTAAAAAGTATCTGAACGACTTGTTCGCTTCATTGGAATGAAAATAATGGTCCCAGATCGATTCCGACTTATCTGAGATTAAAAATATTTCAGTCAACTTTCATAAATAATACTTATATGATACAAAATAAAGAATCTATGAATTCCACCACACAAAACACAAGTGCCAAACTTATGATGGTAGAAATATGAAATATAGGTAATTTAAAACCCATAATGTAGGGACTATGCGTTTTATTTTTTTAATAATTTTTAAATTTAAATTTATAATATAGGTACCTATAATATTATTATACTAAGACAAGTATGAACCAGTTGGATAATTAAAAAAAATATTATTTATCAATTACCACGTTTAAAATATTGTAAACAAGTTTAAAATGCAAAAGAATTATCAGCACAATTTTGCCGAAAAATATAATATAGAATCTCAAGTGAAGTATAATATTTAAGTATTTTATCATATAGCTTACATAATTGATGTATTATTGACTTAAACAACATTTATTAAATTAAGTACATTTTAGTGTACCGTCTACTGTATAGTAAATAGTAATACGTTGTACAGAGTGTCTCGCTGTGTTTGTTCTTGTACGTACCTACTCCTCACCCATGTATTATACATAGGTACTCTCTTCTACCAGCTTCCTTTGCTTGAGTTCCGCTACATAAGTTTACAAGTTACGTACATTAACGTTTTAATATTTAACAGGAATTAATAATTCAACTTTAAAAATATTTGCATTAATTAGCTCTGTAAATTGGGTATATTTGATTTTTGAGAAACGCCAAATCAAACAGTTTCATTTTTTATTTCAATTAAGTTTGGTAGGTAAATCCCAAAATACTCTTAATCATAATAAATGTATATCAATCTATACCATTAGTTTTATAAAACTACAAAATCAAAGTTTATACTGAAATAGTTTACCAACATTTTAGGTGGGTACTGTGAAAATTAAACAAAAAAAGGTTATTGATTAAACCAGCTTGGTGATGAGATTCGCCATTCACAACTAAGCAGATAGGTCGATTTATGTTATTAATATATTTTACTTTTTAATTTACTATATATTTATTTTTAATACTATAGTAACCTATTGTAGTATAATATTTAGTATCGATTATAATATTATGACAAAACATTATTCATTCATCATAATTCATATTATTTAATAACGATTCACGTTACAATTATCTATTAAGTCGATTATTATGTGTTTTGTCATAATCAAAACTATACAAGCCATAGATATTTATCATGACCGTGTTTACAGACGTATAAGCGTTAAGGTTTCTGACATTTATATAATTTCAAAATGTATGACATATTTGCGGACATTTATTATTTCAATACGATATAAATATGATTTTATAATAATAAGTAGGTAGTATTTAAATAAGTTATATTATGTTGTTCACTTGATACTATAGTAAATAAACTGAATGAATAAAGTTTTAAATTTTGGATAAATATTTAAGTATTATTGAGTTAAAGTTAATTTTAGTTATTAATACATATATATTATTATTTTCTTTTATTAAAAATGTATAACGTTTAAACAGAAAATTATCAATGGAGTGCTTTGAAGAATCATAGTCCATTGTTCATTTTTTTTTACAAATCACTGCGTATTATATTGTTAAATACGCAGTGATGGGGACATTTACATATTTTTATATTTTGGTTTTAATTACCATTGACTAGAAAAAGTATAGCAAATAGCTAGTAAGGTACAGATTTTAAATTTAAGATACGCAATCTAATCCACCAAATATACAAGGGATTTAAGAAAAAATTATAGTATTTGATGTAATCATCATTAATGCCCTTAGACTCTTTTAACATATTAAATTAATGAATAAAAAAAACTAATATATTATGATAAAAAAAGTGTACGAGTAAATTAGCAAAACAATTTATATCAAGCTCAATAATCGTATTTTAATTGTTGAAATGTATATAACTTTTAGAATTCTTGCCAACTGTATTGTTGTTATTATACCTGTTGATGTATGTAACTAATTACAACAACTTTAATTATCTTTACAAATGATTCGATTCTTCTTCCAATTTTAAAATAATTTCTTCATTAATATAGGTAGGTAATTGAGTTCTAAAATTGTAGTATTTTAAAAATAAATAGAAAAATATATAGTAGGTAATCTAAATTAAAATAAATATAATTTAATTTGAAAGTTTTTGAAAAGCCAAATCGATGTTCCCTGCCGACACAGAGGAAATCCCCGTGATATTAGGGAAGAGGTAAATTATATCCTATAACCCCTAGGATTTTTATACTGGGGACTAAACATATTTAAGAATAATATTATCCCCCAGTATGGGGTATGATTTGACTGGAACTGAAAGCTGATGTAACATATCATTAGCACCTCCCCCTACAAAAAATAATAATAAAAATTATTTTTCCGGAAGGAGTGATTTATGCATTTTGAAATTGTTCCAAAAAATGTCTACAAATACTCCGTTAGTCATTCATACAGTTGTTGATACAATTTCGAAGTTGATGAGACAATTATAAAAAAGGAGGTGGTTCATACAACAAAAAAGCACTCTTCTCGCAATATAATTCGATATGAATTTTTAAGTTTACTACAAAAACATTTAGGTACGAATGGACTAAAAATATGTTAATACGATTTTGAAATCATTACAGAAATTATTTAAAAATCTGTTTGACGTTGAAGCCAAACTCTAATTTGTTAAAATTACATTATATCTACACATGTAAACTCAATTATTGTTAGTAGGTACTAATAATTTATTAAATAATAATAATAATAATAAAAGTGTACAAGACGACATTAAAGCTACATATAGGTACTAAAAACGTTAAGCCGTTGACACTTTCGGTGACATTAGATTCTAGTGAATAGAATACAAATTATTTCTTTAGAAGTACTCTAAGTTTTAAGGAGAAAAAAAGTTAAATTTTTCCAAAGATTCAAATCTTACTAAATAGTTTTGAATATTGCACTAAAATGTCCAAACTTTTGTTATAGGGTCATTCGTTTTTATTGTATTCAAATATTATAATAGGTAGTGTAAAAGTGCGACCAATGACCGTTGAAGAATTTTCAAATGAACCTAATCTTAAAAGAAGAGGTCGAGGATATTTCATGGAATTTAATAATACCACACAAACTGAAGTAAAATAATTATATTTGTTTGATCGTTTCTATTTGAATACCTAATTAACCAATAATATTAACCATTGAAACTTTTAATTAATACAATTCAAGGTTTATGACGGATTTTTAAATTGCTTAAAATGGATCAATGGAACAATGAATAATCCAAAAATATTCATAGCAGAAAACGGATTTCCCGAGGAAGATGGCATTGATGAAAATGAAAAAAAATTGCTTACCATACTGTAAGTTGTATATCTACATTTAATATAAATTATATTCTTACAATATCTGATGATAGGTAGAATTAATAATATTAATCACTTTTTTGATTGGCTTATATGTAATTCTCGTAGATAGTTTATCCAATGTCTAAATTATAATTGATAAACTGATATGCAACAGAATCGTACATTCTTTTTTTTTTTAGGGTATTCTAAATAAATTACTTGAAGCACTGGATGAAAACTTAAATGTTTTTGGATACTGTGTTTGGTCGTTTTTAGATACTTTCGAATTCGCATTTGGTTATTGATAATTATTTTATTTAACTAAATAATGTTTTTGTATACTTTAGAAATTGAGGCTTAAATAGATATACAGACTATTACTATGCAAAATACTTAAATATACAATGTTTTGTTATAGGAAGAAGTTTGGAATTTATGCGGTAGACTTTAATGATGAATCAAGACCACGTTCAAAGAAAAATAGTTTCCTCTTTTTTCCAGCAGTTGTTCAGAACAAAGAAATTACAAATAAAAATTTAGAATGAAATAACAAAATAATATTAAAATGAAATACTTACATTTTTCCATATTTTTTTTCAATAATTTTTAATGACAAAATTAAAAAGTGATACTGTAATATTGTAATCTAATAAAGAAAAATAATTAATTAAAAATGTATTTTCTTATCTTCGGTAGTTGAAGCAGATTATTCTTATTCAGAAATATGTTTTCTACTTTTAATATTTATATTATTATTATAAAAGAAAATTTCAGAAATAAAGATTATAAGTTTATATTTGACACGGCAAAATTTATCGTGTATGATCGCTATCAGTTTATCACGATGTCTCACAGTGGGGCCAGAAATTAAAATAAGATTGTATAAATCCTTTCACTAAATCCTGCCAAATCCAAATAAATATAATATTTTAATTAATATTTTTATTTTTTTGAACTCCATTTCCTTTTTTGATTGAGACTTTTTACATTTTCCATTATTTTGTTTCAAATGTAATACCAATAATACAATTTATTTTGTTTCCCTTTTTTTTTTATTATTTAAATTAATATTATAAATGTTCTTCAAATAGAAATAATAGCATAAGTTAAAAGGGTATTTTTAAAGAAATTAAATATGAACTTAAACGTTTTTATTTGTATTTATTCTCTAGAAGACTGTTGATATTTGCATAACTTTACACTACTATCCAATAAGTTCATATTTTAGAGAAACTTTTCAGATATGTATTTATGTATATTTTATATTATACTGCTATTTTCAACTGTAACTTACAAAAATTAAATTCAAATAAAAAAAAGGTGGGCAAGTGGGTGTCGCTCTGCTGTACAGTAGGTTACAAGTGGGTCATTGTATAATGTATGGTATTAAATTTGAATACAATGATATAATATCATTGTATAAGAAAAACGATTCTGAGCGGAGACGGTATGTCCTTCTAGGTAAAAGACATATTATATACATATCTATGGTATTAAAAAAAATTGACCTATAATGAATTCCAAATTAATCATATCACAATATCCATTAGGTACTTATAACGCGTTATACACCAACAACAAACCCTGATACTATCATAGATATATATAGTAGATTACTTTAGAAATTTCAAGTACCCACGAATAATATTATACAATCACAACAAAATAACTAAAATCGTAATTCTTGGTTTAAATATGAAATTTTGTCTAAACTTGAAATTAAAATGTCTGTAAAAAATAAGTGTGTTTATATATTTTTTAGATTTTTTGGTTACAGTATGAATTATTTAAGAGAATCTTTGTTTTAAATTTACAACTCTTAGTTATAAAAACTGAACATTTTATAATTTTTTAATTCCAACGATTGATAATTTTCGAGATTTTGATAAATTTTGTCAAAATTCGATGTTTAAATGCTTATAAAAAAAAATCGTACCTATGTATTTTTTAAATTATTCAACTGATATTGTAACAATATATAAGAAAGCTTGTATTCAATTTTCAGACTTTTTGGCCCACCAAATAAAATTTTATTGACAATTATAAAAAAAAAACTAAAAAAATTGAAAACTAAAAATGTCCGTAAACAGCTCAAAAAGAGTCAAAATATTTTCAAAATTGTATGGTGTATAGGAAATGCTAATATAAACATTCAGTGAAATTTTCATGTATCTAAAGTAATACGTTTTTGAATTACAACAAAATAAGGAAATCGCCACATGAGAAATCGAGTGAATATCCAATGTTGTAAAAATTTGAATTTCAAACACTCATAAAAATTTAACTTGACTGTCCGGTAGAGATTTTTTTATTGATAAAGGTAGATAATCTTATAAGGAATCTTGTGTTTCATTTTCAAATCTTAGATTTAAAAAGAAAAATTTTTACGAATTCTTAACTCAAAATAATTTGCTAATTTTCGTGATTTTTCCATATTTTGTCAATTTTTGAACTTTAAATGCTTATAAAAAAAAATTGTGACTAAGGATTTTTAATATTTTTCATCTGCCTTTGAAACAACATATTAGGAGCCTTCTATTAAATTTTCAAGCTTTCGCAACCAACAAATAAAATTTTATTGATATTTCTAGAAAAAAAACTAAAAAAAAATGAAAAATGAAAATGTCCCTAAACAGTTCCAAATAAATCAAAATATTTTGAAAATGTTATCGTGTATAGAAAATGCAAATATAAACAACCAGTGAAAATTTCATGTATCTACGGTCATTTGTTTTAAAGTTACACCAAAAACCAAATTCGATTTTTTGGAAAATCGATTTTGCGTAAAAATTCCCGTTTTTTCCTTAATTTTTATGTTGTTTTTCCCGGCGCTTGTGAAAACTACTGGAAAATGTTTACTTTTGACCCCCCAAAGTACCAACTAGATTCACTTTCCTATCAGAAAAGGTACTATTGAAGAAAATCGAAGCACTTTTACTGTCCCAAAACGTGATGACAGACACAAAAATATAAAAATATAAAAAAAAACATACATCATTGTAAAACCAATACATTCATCGCTCCGCTCAGAATCTAAAAGATTGGCTACTGCAAAACCAGATTTGTATTCATATTTAGTTTTTAATGACATCTTATATTATACTAAACAAGTTTATTTATAAATATATATTCTTCGTCTTTTGTCAAATATTTTAATGAGCAGAATTACATTGTTAACATAGAATATCATATAAAGTATTTATTAATATAATAAACAATATACCTATATTATTATTTAAATCCTTAAAAAATTGTAAAATATTATACATCCATTTCAGAAAATAAAACCTTCAAGGCTCATTCTCCACTTTCTTAGAAACAGTATTGTATTGTAAATGTACCTGTATAATGTCTTTGATAGGTTTGTATATGGTATATTGGTATAATCGTTCTAATTGAGATAGTGATGAAATCAATAGCATATTCAACAATAGTTTGTACTTATAGTACAGTATTTTAACACTTTGAGTACCTGACCGATAATGACAAAACTGTTGATTCTCACAGGGACATTTTTTTTTTTTATGTTACTCTACGACACAACCTTTAATAGTTTTTTTCAAGAGTGTATCTATTTTGATACACACTGCACAAATTAACAAAATAGTGCCACTAAAGTTATTCAACTTCCACAGAGTTGTTATATTTTTCTTAAAATAATTGATTTTCCATAAGAAAATGTGTGTATCATTATCAATACATGAGGCACAAATGAACATTAAAATGTATATACTCAAAGGGACAATATAGCACTTTACTACATTAGTACCTATTGGGAATCGACACCGCTCTCGGTAGATTAAAAATGGAGCGTGGAACTGGGCATGTAGTCCGGCCAGCGGGGCGGCAACAAGCTGTAGTGCCGAGGACCCGTGGTCGCAGAATATTATAGAGTATTGACTGTCTCAAATCTCAATATCTCATACTATTTAGGCGTCCGGTGCCGATTCCATTTCGTCCTCAAAAATACACTCTGTGGGAATAACAATACTGCCGTGAAGAATCAACCAAATTTCATATTTTTTTTTTTTTTTATTACTAGAGGGAAATATTCTACAGCAAGCATTGATCTCTGTTTTTCAATATTTTATTCTCAAATATTATAATATGTCTAAAAAAATACAAGATAAAAAGCATTTTTTTACAATTTTTTTAATACAATCATTTAAAATAAATACAAAATCAGAGATCGATGAGGGCTGTAGGATTTCTTCTTCTTTCAGATAAAAAAATAGTCATAAAAATCCGACAATTCTACAAAGCTTGAGAGTTATTCCCGTAGTAATTTTTTTCGATATAATACACCCTATCAACCTCCCCCCCCCCTAAATAGGTATCAGGTAGTAGATTAATGGAAAAGTCTTATAATTGAGGTGGCAACTAAAATATAAAATTTAATTTTCAAACTTTTTAGAATTGTGGAAAATTTTAAAAACTGGCACCGGGGAACCCTTAAATATAATCATACTATTAATACTATTAATATTATTAGGTTCCGTTAAATTTTGGTAAAATGGTAAACCATCATATTGTTTGCATTATTTTAACGTTATTATGACACCATTATTATACCAATTGAAAATTTAAGTCTTATTAATGGCCAATTCAAATAATACAAAATTAGTATAAAATAGCTAAAAATAAACTGTTATTATCATAGACTTATGGTTATTATTATAAATTTATATAAGTCTATGGTAATCATCAATTAGTTGATTGTTTTCATTAAACACCTTTGTCAATACTTAATTTTGTTGTTATCATGTGAGTACCGAAACCGAGTGAGTCTAGAGCCCACGAACCTGGTTACCGCGGCGGTCAACCCAGCGCGACCACCGACGACGGCAACTTGTTATCAAAAGGATCGAACACAATTAAATTAAAAATCGAAATAAATTAAATTTGTAATCTCCGATGCTTTCAATTGTATACAATAATACACAGAATGAATATAATATAAATTACTTTATGTATGTAAAGATATTATATACGAGTATGATATTAATAAACTGTTTTGACTTATGAACTATGACACTGCATGTATACATAGGTAATATTAATTTAATTCCTTAGGACCTACCTTATCAAATTATGTTTTTAAGGTGAAAAATATTAAGAGCTTATCACATATTTCTACGAAAGTATTTGTATTTTGCACATAGCACACTCTTCTCATATTAAATTAAATTTTAAATTCATTAACTTATTGC